GGTGTATAGATAATGGATGGACGGACGTTGCTTTACAATTTCAAATCTCTTTGGGTGCAAATTGCAAATCTTCAGAATAGCAAAACATTCCTGTGATAAAAACGAACACTACCAGCATAGATTAACAGAACTCACCAATAATAAATGTAATGCAAGTTTGATTATAGTTTTTCCGCCTGTTTATCGAACACCTGCAACATCAAACAGCAGCAGGATCCTTATAGGAGCATGTGTCCCTAAAACAAGAGAGATGCACATATTAGCAGATGTGGAACAACATTGCCAGAAACTTCACTAAATACTTATAAAATAAAGTGAAGAGCAAATCAGTCCAGGTCAGGATCCACTAACAAATCACACAGTGTACTTTTCTCACATCACGGTTTAGACCATCAGGGATTTGGATGGCTTCATTAGCTGCTATCAGTTTTTTATTCAGTCTTTTGTTTGTTCATGCGTTGTCCACCACTTGGTGTATTCTCTGATATACCAAGAATTACAAATATTGCTTCTTTTCATGTTTGATTTTTTATTTTTTGGATAATTTCGGCTGTATTAACGCATTTGACATACAATTTGGCAAACGTGTGTATTTTGATATTCCAATCTGAACTCCCATCATACATCAATAATACAAAAATAGTTACACTTAGGTCCTTAGGTACAAAATTCTTAACATTAAAACCCATTAAACTACCATTAAATTGTGACATAATGCATTCTATGTTTAAAGGCTTTCATTTTGGAGTCTTTCAAAAAAACTATTTTCACTATTTTCCACCAGATTGCCTTTTTTCATGTTTAGTCTATGAAGCAAATTTAGTTTATTTCCCCCCATTATTCTACTTTTTGTTGTGATAGAGTGTCCCACAGGCCAGTTGTCAAGGCCAGTCCTGGTGAACTCACGCACAGACAACAATGAGGATGAGGAGACCAGAGGTTTTGAGAAGAAAGAGGTTTTTATTTACAGATACTAAAGCAGGGAGAATTTTCAAGATGTGAGAGGTGTGAAATGAAACTGGGAAAAGAAGGGAGGTAGCTAAGAAAGGGAGAGGAATGGGAAACCAAGCTGATTACTAGATTAACCACGGAATTATTTTGAATTCAGGGGAAGACCGGGGACATAACCAAACTAAAAACTAAGGCGAGAGTGAGTAACCCCAAAATACTGAAGCTGCAGGAAGGACAAACCATACAGGCCGAATGCAGAATTACGACAACGTAAAACTATCTAACAAACAATACAGACTAAATCCAAAGAAAATTTAATCGGTAGGGGTTACTGACCAGAACCAAGTGATAGCACAAGCTACAGATTGATTAGCAACAACAATGGACCAGGAAGTGAATGTGCAGCAGAGTGCAATTCATAAACTTACACAAAGAACAAAGTAAGAAAAAGCAGAACCACACTAACGTAGCTGAATCAGAAAAAACAAACTGAGCACAAGTGGAGGGACAACTAGTGCAATCATTAGCGAGAAATCAAGGCAAGTGAAAAGCC